AGCACCGTTCTATGCTCAGTGCATGTACTGTTCAGGTGGGACAGCTGGGGGTACTTATTCTGTGATACTGCAAAGTCTAGTTACGAAGCAGATACTTAGCAATGATGCCCTTGGATGGACATGGTTACCCAAACTAGCAGAAAACTAGCTATCTTGGAGATCTTACTGGTGGAAACAGACACCTAGAATCTTAAATGGCTATTTGTAAGACCTAAATTCTGAGTTTGGTCTCTACTCTTAGCAGGTAAGGGCTCAAATCCATCAAAATAATTAGATACTTGACTTCTCTCTGGAACCCAAGAAGTCTAGGAAATAAATACTTTGTACCTATCTACCTTGGGGGATCTGCACCACAGTTCTTTTCACTTTTGAAAAGAAATTTTGATCGATCTATCACTGAAATGCTTTTGGGAGACAATGCCTGAACGCTTGTTCACTTTCTATGCATGTTTATAGGAGTAACTGATGCCTGACAGCAATTTTGGCAGGAAGAGAAAGTGTTTGGGGTGCTCCTGCAGGCTTGCATTTGACGGTGAACAGTGTTCACACATCTATGACTAGAAGTCTTTGCCACCGGGAGTCATCCTCAGGGACATAGTAGATGATGCAGGTGAGCATGTGAGCTGGCTGGCTGAAAGAGAAACCCTGATGAGCAAGAGATGCCTAGAGTGCTAATAGCAGCTCTGAAATGATGAGCTGATGTTATTCATAAAAACAATTATCAGATTGGCTCAAGAAGTGAGGAAAGGCATGCAGCTCAGTTGTTTTTTTAATTAACTTTTTCCTGCCAGTAATTCATCCTGCTCCACGAGAAACTAAAATCATAATGTTAATGATAACAGAAGGAATGAAGTTTATCATTACTGATCTTCGGATTCCCTATTGTCACAGGACACTGACCTATCAAAGTACTGATAAATTTATTAACTCCAGTCTTAAAATAAGTTAAATGTTTCCAAAGGAGAAACAGATCTTTTGGGAAATTTCACTGAGGTAAGTTGCTGCATAGCAAACATGAACCTTCTCTTCTTGGACACTTCTTACAGATTCTCTGAGTGATCCCAAGAAGCCCAAGGGCCACAGGTTGAAATTCACTGTCACAGGCATAGGTGTCAGACAGCAAAAAAACCCCCAGTCGCCTCTGCTTGATCATGGAATGAGATGCTGGGACGCTAGCAGTCCCAACTCACTTCAATAGTTCTTACTTTGGCTCATAAATATATGAGCCTGAACACAGTCATTTCTTTATTTAAAGCAGTTGAAAGAACCAGAATGGTAGAGAAAGTGCAGTTCTGTGGCTCAGCTCAACTTCAGGCTAATTACTGAAAAAATAAGCAAACACACCTGGGAAAGCACGGTATCAGAGCCTGGAAAGCTTTGCAGCAACTTACAGAACCAGGAGTTCACTTGAGGAAGGGATTGCTACAGCAATCGTGTTCCTGTATAGTGGTAAAGACAAGACCCTGCAGATCAACTACCCCAGTAACCATTTCCTTCAGAGAGATGGAAACACCACAGTTTGGAGTCTAAGCAGCGCAAGTGCCTGGAAACATTTTGAAGATATGATATCCCTTTGGAAAAACAGCAAGCATTAATCTTGTCTGAAAGATTGACTTCATTCGAACAGACTGCTCAAAATTGCTGGGGAGTGATAGCAATGGCTACACTAATGCCTAGAAATGTAGAGGCAGCATTTCATGAATGTTTCCTTCCTTTCCCTTTCCTTTTCTCTCATCTAATACTCCTACATGTTTGCCTTATTCCCAAATGGAAAAAAAAAAAAATCACCCTAGTTGAACCAGACATGCTCTTGCATGGGATGGGTGGGCTGTGACACACTTTTAGGTGAGTTGCTAGGCCTTTGAAGGGGACACCTCTTCAAAAAAGCAGCCCAGTGTCACATCTCATGTTCTCATAGGGTAAGGGGTCTGCAATTTATGTCCTTGGACTGAGGAGAGACTTGCAGCTGGGTCACTTGACTAGAAGGCTTTTCTGGAGTATGAGGGGCCATTCGGTCATACGCTGCCCAGCCACAGTACAGCACAGTGGCTTTCACTGCTGCGGATCAGGCTGGCTGCCTCCGGCAGGTGTGTGGAGGCAGACGGTCACAGGACAACAGTGATGCTGGCGCGTTCCACTGAGGGGCAACGAGATACCCAGCTGGGAGACCAGGTACTTGTCACATAGAAAAATCCAAAGAACACTTCCAGTCCCTTCTTCTCAGCTGGTTTGCGAAGTGCTGGAAATCACCAGTTGCATCTAGTTTATCGGTAGTCATCTCCACATCTGTAAAATGTGGTTGTCACCAGGGCCACTGTAGAGATTGACTAGATAGGTCCACATCCTGAGATCGTTTCTCCCAGTGACTTCAGTGGGATGCCCAGCCCAGAACAATGGCAGGATACATGACCCTAAACATTTCTGCAATGCTTTGAAAGATGAAAAGGAGTGACTTCTATACCTATGTCAATGTAGGGGCAGGCAAACATTTCATGATGTTTATAGCAGACATTGTGGATGTTGCACATGAAAACATGGGAAATGGTGCACTCTTCTTGTAGAGAGATTACATTTTATAGATGGCAATGAGGAAATAAAAGCATTCATACCCTTACGTGAGGTAGGCTCTTTTGTATGTCTGCCTGCCTAATATGGCCACAGTCACAGATGTTTCCTCCATAGCCAGAACTGCCGTATGGGGCTGTTCCTTCTGAGGAACTGGGATGAGAGCATTCACACCACATGCTTTTCCTCCCTCTCCTCTGCCCTTGCTGCAGTTGTAGAAAAATATGCAGTGCCAATGCTAGACTTTTTTTTTAAATGGAAAGATTCTCCTAAAAACATTTGTTTCTCCCTTTGGAGCACTAAAAGATGATGAAATAAAAAAAATGACAGGACTTCAAGCCAATACTTAACCATGCCTTTCCACAGATATTTTACTAGTCTACAACGATAACGAGCTAAATCCTGTGTCCTTAGATTGCTTTCTGGAAGGGATTGGGGAATCATGTGAGTGGAGGCACTGGAGGGCTGGATGGAGACCTGCCTTTGCAAAACAGAATCAGGCTTTACTGTCTTCCCACCCCAATGTTGAGATTTTTTTTTTCTCCATCTCCATGGAAACAAAAAATCTCTGACTCTTGTCACTCAGAGAAGACTGCACAGCAACATGGCTTGTTTACTCGCTGTTTTTTTTTTGGTGGATTGAAGCTGTGTGGCCTTGTCCTTGTTCCAGGAAATGCATGGACATAGCTGTCTGAAGGAAAACCCTAATGATTGTATAGTTTTTAATGCTCAGTGGCAGTTAGCCACTTTGCTTTTATTGTTAGCAGATTACAATGTTGCCTCACTGTTCTGTGCCACACACCATGCTATGACTAACATCATTCAACAAAAGAAAATCCGCTCTAAAGTGACCATGATCTAAAACCTAATGGATCTGGTAGAGGCTCCATTCATTCGATACTATGTTTTCTCCTAGCACCTCCCACAAATGGCGATAAGAGGATAAGTGGAAGGGCAGAATGATTCTGGGAAACACAGATGCTCGATGCAACACTTAGGGTGGCCATGCTCTTTACCCTCTTAGGTGCCTTGAAAATCAAGCTGACCAGCCTCAGTTGTTGTTCAGCATCTTTCCCCAATGAACCTTCCAAAAAAGGGGCATGAAACAACATCCTAACTTGTTTGTGCCATGAAAGGAGCTGGAAAGAATGCATCAAACCACATGACACGCTAGGACATCAGGCTGCAGAGAGAATAGAAAGACCTCATTTTTAATTACTTCTAAACAAAGTTGGCTCAGAAAAGTATTTCTCATTGTACTGCTGAATTCTTCTTCTCATCACACAGTAGTGAAACACAGCCTCTTCTGTTGCTGCAAGTGAACTGAAATCAAGTTATGAGGGATCACTTCATTTCCTAGTAAACACAGATTACCATATCACAAGCATTTTAAACTTCCCTGCAGTGTCCAGGCCCTTCTTTGTCATCTTGGATGTTTTTATCATGGGAGTCTTAAGAAGCATGGATGTCCTACTGTCTTTACTGAGTGCTTAAAGATATTTTCTCCCTATTGCTCTGGGCATAAGCAGTCATAGAAAAGCAATTAGAGAGCTGTCTTGAAGCACCGAGGCCTCTGAAGTCCCAGGCTAGTGCTTCAGTCACAACAAGCAGGTAAAGTATGGGCCACTGTCTGCCTGAGATGAGGCAAAAACTGTACCCGTGCATACATAGCCAAGTTCAACCCAGGCTCTAGCTGCAGAATGACAAATACAACTGGCACAAAATGAAGAGTTATCACTACAGTAAAGGTTCTCATCTTTAAAGCCTGTTAATTTAAACTGTAAACTCTTTACAGCGTGGAATTTCTAGTTTGGTTGTTGGTAAAACATTTTGCATGGTCCAGTCAGAGCCAGAGTAAAACACAAGCAGGCTTCAGTTCCTCAAATTTCATCATGAGATCAGCGTCTAAGGATTCACCAAGTATTACATTTCATTTGTGTGGATTCAGAGGAAAGTCATAATGACTCAAGTATAACTGATGTCTTCCTGAGCATGCAGAGAGCCTGAAACAACAGATCTAACAGATGCAAACTGCCCCATTCACTTTTTCTTCAAAATTTGCTCTCTCCCTCAAGTAGGAACGTGGTCAGCCCGCAAGAAAAAAATCCACATCACACAGCTAACAAAGCCAGAAAACCAAGTAGTAGTGTGCCTCCAGCAGTCTTGTATTATTTCATTAAATAACAATTTAGCATCTTGCATTGTAACGAGCAACTTTACAAAAAAGCAGTAAGGGCCCCATTCTTGCCCTGGCTTCCCTTGCTGTCCAAGACAAAAAAAAATCTCATTGACTTTCAAGCGTGCAAGGGTCAAAGTCCTACTAAAATGTGTAAATACATGATGTATTTCAGAAAGCATGAGGTACATCATCTCCCTCACACAAAAGCTTACAGACCAGCTTTGATGCACATCCTGTGTGGCTTTTTTTTTTTTTTAAACAGAACTTAGGTTCCTACAACATCGATTCTTGTTTTCACTGTGTGAATCCTATAGCAACCCATATGTGGCAGAATATTCTTTATGGCCTGTCATCTTTAAAAGGAAGATGGTATGTTCTTGAGTCATATTTGCTAAGAAAAAAAACCTAATGAAACTAAGCAGGCTGACATAAACAAGTAGGTCACAGTAAGGATTTTAGGGCAGTCTAATCTTCTGATTTCTGAGGACTAGTGTTTTGTCTTCACGTAACTTCACAACTTCTCATTACTAACCTTATGCAAAAGCTCTGAACCATGGAGAACTTTCTGCAGCTTCAGGCTTTATCTTCAACAGCTGCCTGTACTAATTCCTTTCCTGAAGATTGCTGCTCTTGAAGCAGAGATGACAGAAAAACTTGTACCTGCACCTCAGTTGCTACTGATTAGCTGAAACTGCTGACACAGATGGGTTTGCAACAGGCTGCCAAACTGACCTGGAGCAGCTGCTATCTTGAATTAAGAACCCATTTTAATGGCTTCAAGATGGCAAGGCCCAAAGGATGTTACATTTATTAACAACCTGAATCAAAAATGACTGCTTAAGTTGGAAAGACAATATCGTAGCATCAGTAGCATTATTCCAGTCCATGCAAAGTGCTAATGAATAGTCTGTTAACTTAAGTTTGTGGCAATTATTATTATTATTTTTTTCCCCCCTGAAGCATACCTTTGTCTAGTTAATATCTTTCCAGCAGCCTGATTTGGACTGTTAATTACCTACTAGGAAGGTAACAAGATACTACTTATTACTGTGAAATCTGGCCTTGCAACACACAAGATGGAAAAAAAGTGACTTAGACACAAATCTAGCATAACTCATGTTACACGTTGAACACGGAACCAAAACTGCGAAGAGAAAAAGCATCAAGAGAAGCTAGATCCAGCTATGTTTGTCCAAACAAAACTGGCGACCTACGGCATATGATGTTGAGAGCAAAGTAAAGAGATGCAACACTAGTATGTGCATGATAACCTTATATTAGCAGAAGACCAGACTAAATTCCTCTGTTTCACTGCTTTTAGAGGTTCGTTGATCTTAAACTATGTGTTGTGGCTTCTGGCAATCAAAACTCAGACTTGCCACAGTACCAGGATTAGCAGGAAGAAAATTGCTAAAGTACTTTCAAATATGTATTTACATATAAATGCAAAGTACTTCTCACTTATGAATTTCCTTTGACTAGTTCTGCCTCAGTAAAAAACACAAAGCCATTCTCTCCAGTGGTCAACAGTGGTTATTCTTATCTGTATTGAAACTTTAGGCATTAAGAAAGGAAATAAGACAGCATAAGGAATTCCTGCAAATATGATCAGAGCAGGCTGGTTCAATCTGCAATACAACAGGGGAAGTTTGAGATGATGGAAATTTTCATTAGCAGAATAACTACTTTTTAACTGGTCATTCTTGGGCATCTTCGCCAGAGCATGCAGTATTATAAGAATCAAAGAGCATACCAAATGACCATGTTATTTCATTTGCAGTCATTTGGAGAAGGGGTGATGTCTGGGGTTTTTTTTTTTTTTTTTGCTTTTCCTTTCTCTACTTTTTAAGCTTATGCTGTAATAAGTCTGTTCAAGTGGTAACATAACCCGACTCAGCCATGAAGTGCACAACTGCTGAAACAAGATAGAGGACTCTGCAGTGCTTATGTTTGATAAGTTATACTGAAAATAATTTTGAGCTGGAAGAAAAGAGAGCATTTGAGAACATAGCAGTACTTCCTGAGAAGGCCCTCCCCTTTGTTGACCTTACAAGAAGTTGAAGCAATGCTTTGCTTGAGCTGCTGTGCCCAGAGCACATGATAACGCTGAGAACATTTTATTTAATACTGTACGAAATGTCTGACCCTTGAGGCATAATAACGTGCTTAAAATATACTTAACAGTACCCTCTGACTAAAAAAAATGTTTCCAACTCATACTTAAAAAAAAATCCATTTAGATGCTTATTTTGACTGTGCGCCCAGCATCAATGGCAAAAGTGCTTCTGTTTAGAAAGGATGGTTCAGCCAAAATTCAACTTGTTTTTCAGGAATAAGGAACTGAAGAAAAAAATATAATAAAAGCCATACCAAATAAATCATCATTCAGCTTTACTTTGTAAGTGAATAATCATGTGCGTGCAAGTCTTGCTGTTCAAGCTAGCACTTTCCTATAAAGAAAACTTTCCGGTGCTGCTGCTCTCTAACACTCACCACCCTCTGATGTTGTGGGTGCAGAAAGACCACATTGGTAGTCAAAGGCACAACACGAATAAGCTCTGCTACTCTCTCCAGTAACTTTTCAAACTCCTCAGTACCTGACTAGTCACCAGCAAGTTTTGACCATGGTCTGTCTGCTTTTCATTTCTGCTGCAATAATTACATTAACGTAATTTCACTAAGGCAATGGAGTTGCACCAAACTATAGGAGACAACAATCAGGACAAATATCTAGCTTTTAAGTCTATACATCCAGGAAAGAGGCACCTAAAGCATTTTGGGGAAAGGTAGGGAATAAAAATTGGTATTTGCTTTCATCTCCCAGACTGAAATAAGGTTTAGAGAGGGTTGAATTAACACAAGAAACCTGAGAAGGGGCTACCCTCTTTTCCACCTGATGTTAGTAGCTATTACAGGACTCAGTGGCTGAGCCATGTAGAAATAACATTTCAGAATGCTTCTTCAAGAGCACAAAAATGGGAATCTCCTTCCTCTTTTTATTAAAAAAAAAAAAAAGTTGAGAACTTCTAAAAGGCAAAATCCATTTCTCAGCAAGCAAAATTGTAATCCTTCAAATAGCTTTTCAGCTGTTGACTTTTAAACTCACAGCTACAAATTTGCAAGTACACTCTGTAGGTGACAAGAGATAACCATCTCACTACATGTGGCTGCACATGGCTACCAAAGGGCATGGTTTTCATCCAGGCTTAACAAATGAGCACAGAAAACAGCAAAGCAACCCAATGCCAATGGAAAACAAAAGCACAACATGTGGGTACTTTGTGGATAACTGTTTAGAGAAGCGGCCCTTCTGTCATCCATCCTTGTAAATTCACTTTGGGTATACAACTGCAGAAATTAGACAGGCAAGTCAGCAGTGATATCTGTGCCTCATTTGTTTGAAAAGTTAGCTTTGTACTTTGTTGTTCAGCCTGCAGAAGTCAGAGGATGTACTAATATCCTTGAAAATTTAGGTTGGCTTCTCACAAAACAATGAAAACATGTCTTTTTTTTTTTTTTTCCTCCTTTATTCACGTTCACTTCTGACTATTGATTTCTACTTGCCCTTTGTTTCTCTGATTCTTGGCCAGCTCAACTCGCAAAGTATTACCCCCAAGGCTCAAGCCTCTCAAAGAGGATACAGCACTCTCCGCGGCTGCTTTATCCTTGTAATCGAGAAAAGCCCTGTGCTGTGCTCCTTGCCAATTCAGTCGTAAAGGAGTTGCATGGATTTCCCTTAAAACATATTTCAGTTCGCTCACTCTTGTACTGGGAGGTATATTCCCCACATACACAGTAGTAAGCACGCCAGATCCCTCTAATCTGGGACTTAAAGAATTGCTTTCAACATATTGTTGTTTTAGTTGAGCTGAGCCCGTTGCAGCCTGCGGTCTTGTATTTTCAGCCGTTGCCTTCTCATTTAACGCTGCTGGTTTGTCAGCATTTGCCAAGCCTGGATGTTCGTCTTTGAGGGTAACGTCTTTGCCTGCCTGCTTCTCTCTGTATCGAAGACTCTTTAGGATGGGGATTTTTCCCAGCATCTCATAGCTGACCTAAAAAAAATAAAAATAAAAAAGTTGAGTTTTCTCTCCTTCCGGAAAAAGGAAAAGACCATCAGGACCACTTTGTACCATAAAAATAGGGGAACCTTATTATATTGTTGCCACTCGGGACTCTAGAGCATTCAAAACGCTACTAATTGCTGGCCTTAGTTGCTCCCTAAATTGCTCCATTAGTTGCTCTGAAGTTGCTCCCTAAATACACAATCTAAGACAAAAAATAAACATTAGTTACTCTTTATGCAAACTGCACAATGTAGATCCAGCAGGAAAAATCAAAACCAAACTCAGAGCTATTAGATTTTGACATTTATTTATCGGGGTGCGTTCAGATTTGCATTCTCCCTGTTATCCGTTAATATTTGTTTTGACCAAGGGCCTGTGCTCCTGCTCTGGCAAAGTCTTACATGCCTACAATTCATCAAACCATCAGGCACTTTCTTTCTGCAGACCTCCTCGCTTTCTTTTCCCCCCCAAAACAGGATATCCCATAGGCTGGGTCATACAATGGGGAGGGACCACGGTATTAGCCTGCAGCTGGGGACCATGCTTTCTAGCAGGGCTCCGATGAGTGTGGGCCCAGCTGGGGGCACATTCTCTGGTTGTGGCACCTCACCACAGCCTCCCTTCTTAACATTTGACTTCATACACCACCCACAGCTGCTCATCAGAGCCCACACCAGTCTGCTGTGTAGGATCACAGAGCGGGAAAGTGCCCTGACACTATACTTCAAAACTGTGAACCCCCTATCCCTCCACCAGCCCTGGTTCATAAGCAGCTTTTCTGGAAGGGCTCTTCCTCTCAACAGCTGAACCCTATCAATCTCAGGCATGAGATGCCCCAGGCTGCACTCCATGACTGGCAGGAAACTCAATGGTTCCCTAGTTAATGTGGTCTAACTCTTGGCTTGCAGACCGCTGTTGGAAGGAGGAATAATTCATACTTGGCTGCTGGACAGGCAGAACATCCATCAACACAAGACCCAATTCGTAAATTTAGGGAGCAAAACAGAGCACAGAGAAGAGATGCCCAAGCTAGCAGAGATCAAGTTAGCAGCCCACACAGTGTGAGCACACCACTCTAACAGGGTACTGCACCCAAACTTACAAGCCACAACTCTCAGCAGGCTGCACAAGCATACCCTGGCTAGAATATGCTTGCAGATCTCTTTTTTCCTCAGACTCCCTGAATTCCTGGTTTTACAATTACAGTCCGGGTGAGTTTGGATCTAGCTCACCACACAGTATCTAAAATTTAATGATCTTCAGGGAAAGGAGCCCAGTTCTGAAAGTGACTGAAGTAAAACAGAAAAGAGGGTACGGGGAACGTTAGGTAAAAGGAAAGCCAGTCAAGAGAAGTTTCTTAAACGTTTCCAGGGCTCCTCTTCTGAGGAGCAAACAGGCAGGCTTTATTTCAGGCAGAAACTAAATCAAAATATACCTTTACATCAAGTACAGCCTAGCTCCATCTTGTTAATGTAAGATCAAGCAGCAGAACAGAGCTAACCAGCATAGGCAGAGTTTGCCACCATTCTGCCACACTGCAGATCCAGAGTCAAGGTGTTTTGAATCAGATCCTTCAAACAAGCAAACTTTATGATTGAGAATTTCTGTACAAAACTGGCCTGATCTGGCAGCCAGTACAGAGAGGCAAGGACTTCCTCTGGGACTCAGGGAGCCTCAGTGTTCTGAAAGGTACATGCCATTTTCAGATTTTGAAGAGTTATTGCTCTACGGACTCTTGGACTGATTTGTTTTTCTCAGCCAAGAATTCAGACGGCTGCGTTTGACAGCAAACTCCCCTTCCCTGGGCAATACAACATCAAACCAATGGCTGAAGCCATCTTATGTTGTTTTTACTGGCCAACAATTAGGAACATTTGTTGTCCTCTGACAAATTTCTATGTGAAATGTAAGCTCTATGCTAATTAAACCAAACAGGAAAAACATTTTTCTATTCTCATGCAACTAATCACTCCTGGGTCCAAAGCACAACCTCAACCTATTACCAAGTGCATGTACAGTTCCTTTCATCCTGAAATTAAGCATAGTTCCTGACATACAGACTAGGTGTTTACTTAGAAAGATCAACGCTACCAAGGGTAAGCCCTCATCACTTTGTAGGCTACGGGAATCAATGAGATGAGCATTGAGAGGCCAGTCAAACTCCAGTCCTTCAAGGACAAACTGAGGAGATGATGTAGGCAGGCCCAGGGCCAGCATGCTCTCTAACAGAGATTTCAACTGGCCAGGCTTCAACACGGCCTCTCCTCGCACCAAAGCGATCAGCAGTTTCTGACATTAAAATAAACGGAGCTCTTGGAGCTACTTTTCCAGACTGCCCTGCAAACTCAGGAAGATGCTGTTACAATAGTATATGTGTATCCATAGAAAACTAGTTCATATGTCTTATCAAAGCTGAAGTTCTGATCATTAAACAAGACCACAAGGTGAACCTATCATTACTTTAAATTTATCCCTGTGTAGAAATACTAGTAAGTATGATATCAAAGAAACAAAGGCAATTGATTTGGCACTCAGATTTGTTTGCAATGGAAAATACTCTGTTAAAAAAAAAAAAAGAGAGAAGAAAACATCCTACATCAGATAAGTTCCTACACTGTCAATCAGCATCTTTCTGACAGAAAAAGAGATAGAGGATTTTGCCTTAAGGGCTGTTTTCACTGGGGTCTATAACAATCTTTCAGCTGGGTGAAAGCTTTCAAACCCTTTCAAACCCCTGTTTTATCTTTTTCCTCTAACTTTTATGGCAAGGAAAGGCAGGAACAGTTTGGAATTTCAGAGTACCATTTCAACAAACCAACTCACCACCTTTTTGGGGTTGCAGGGGGTGGGAGACAAAAGGGCAAAGGGGGCAGCGGGTAGCACAGGAGAGGAAAAAGTTTGCTCTGCTCAGCTGCAAAATACTAAACAAGAAAACTCTTCTGTGGTAGTACAATGTGTTGCTAATTACAATCACGCAAGAAGTTTCTTTTGTCTTGTGAATTGTAGAGAATTGCAATGATTTATTTCCATGTGGAGAGAGTCCAAAGATATTCCTCCTCTCTTTCAAAAAAGCTGCACGTTTCTTGGTCCCGTGCCGGCTGGTCACTCCTCCCCAGCCTTGCCTAGTGATTAGAGCTAAGCCAGCATCCAGGGGACTTGGGTTCTGCTGCAAGTCTTCTTGATCCCATCATGCAGACCTGGGCAACCCTAGTGGCTGAGGCTTCTCCCCTTCCCCTCTCCCTAAAAAACCCGCCCCCATAAAGTTAAGGCCAAACTATTTATTGATGTTTGTAAACTTTGGATTGAGTGCTGGGCTGTAGTTAAATGATTGGCTTTGGCAGTGAAGCCAGTTGAAGAAGTTTCCTATTATCCCTCGACCACCAATTACCAGTCCAGTTCCATATTTCAGCCCTCTGGGGCTGGCCATCACAAAAATACTTGTGGATCTGCGCTGTAAACTCAGTAACTGAAGTGATTCAGGTTAAAAATAACTCCACCAAAGGCAATTAATCATTTAACAATCCTGCCTACTCCCTGCCATAGTTGGGAGAGCCTTGGGGAAAGAGGACAGCAGGGTAGAGGAATTCTTCTGGCACACAATTACCAAGCTATGGGAAAGGAGCGGAGAAGGGAAACGTGGCCCCTTTCTGACAGAAACCTGAAGAAAACAAAGTCTGTCTTGCTGACTGCCAATACAAATCTCCTAGCACTTAACCCTGAGCATCCACTCTTATGACACCTGATTTGGTCCCAAAACCATGTAGTGGCAGATGGACTTCTGCAGCATCTCTGCTGGAACATCAAGAGCTCTCTTCAACCTCTGTTATTCCAGAACAGTGAACATAGCCACTTTCAATATTTTTCTGGGGAAAATGAAAGATGTGTTTGTCCTCTGACAGAATGAGTAATGCTGACCCCTGATACTGCATAGGCCAAGCCAAACATCACTTTGATTTCCCTGGCAGCAAAGGCAGCACAGTTTTGATGTACAGCAGATGCAGGAAGGACAGCTATAGAATGGAGAGCATGCTGGATCTGCTGTTTAATTCTGCTCCACAAAACTATTGATCCGTGTGCCCAAATGAAGAGAGGGAAAGGTGGTTCAGGATGGAGACAGACACTGCTGCCGAGCAGAAGGCTGAGAAAGAGACCTAACAATCTCTAGCAGAGCAGATCCAGCAGCCCTTTCAAGTCCTGAAGCTAGTAAGCTGAAAGAGTTTGCATCGTTGCCCATCCTGGAGTACGTCTAACCCTAGACTCCTTAAAAGGCATCCAGAACAGAGCCCACTTCTTGTGCTCTCTCCTTAATGAGCTACTTGTTTCAATGAGCACTGAGTTCATAGGGGTTTAAAGTGGTGGCACAGACAAAGCCAAGACAGCTAAGGACAGGCCAGCGCAGTCACACATTTTATCATTCATTTGCACAGAATGTCCAAATATGTGCACGCAATCCAAGGGCATAGTTCTAGGAGCTGGCAGCCCATGAAGTCTGCTGGTGTCCCGCAGGAGAAAGCAACTTATGCAACCCACATTTGGAATCCATCAGCTAAAACTGCCTCCATGGGCTCTGTAGCAAGGATCAGATTTGCAAAGGTGTTGAGATGTTTATCCATGCATGGAAGCACTCTCTGCTCATGCCGTCCCTCCAAAAAAAACCCTTGGCTAAACTGACAATCATCATCTTACGGCCAAGCTGTGTCCCTGATAGAGGTTTTGTTAGCTTGGGTGCGTGAACTCTTTTGAGCCCCGAAACAACATTATTTTATTCTCCAAGTATTCTAGCACAGACCTGCATCAAAAGCTGCTGGCTGTCAGATACTGTCTCTGCCATCAGGTACTAAACTCTTTCAGCGTCATACCCAGGAATTCCTGCCTGGTTCACTTCATTTTGGGAAAAATCTTCTCCTCCTTCTATTAAATTCTCAGCAAAAGAAAAAAAAAAGAAAAAAGAAAAAGAGGAAATGCTTGCTAGATTCTAGTTTTTTTTCTACCAGCTACTCTCATTTCCCTCTTCATGACCCCAAATATTTTAATTGGTCTGTATAGTTTCAATTTAAAATAAGCACAGCACAAAATAACTTCATAATTGTGACAAACGTAATAGACAGTGTCGCAGATAAAGATCACAGCTACCCATACAAAATACTAAGTGAGAAAGTAAGTCGCTTCATGAATTTAGAGTTCCCAGAAACAATGGGTTAGATTTTCAAGAGACAAAGCCAAATAATTCTCTGTTGGCATCCAGATAAATTAGCCAAGTTTTCCAGCATGCTCAGTTCTTAGCAGCTTTTGCTCTGCTTCAAGAACACTTACTGATTTTTGAAACTCTGAACTCAGACGTAGAAAGTTTCTCCCCTCACACACTCCAGTTTTACCTTCATATTTAGCAGTGTTTCTAGAGCATCTAGCACTGACTTTAATAATGCATCTTTGACATCAGTAATACTGTATTTCTGTTAAAATAGCTATATTACTTGGAAGTCAGCTTTTCTTGGAATCAGCTTTTCCATGATAAAAATCACAGCATGCAATTCACATCATCTTGTTTGGAAAAAAACATACTACCTTGACAGCAAGAACAATCTCAGCTGGAAATTCTGCACTGGGGGGACCTGAGAGGAGGCAACTGAGGGTAAATCATGCCAAATACCCCAAGAGCTACAAATCAGTTACTGACAGAGTAAAACGTATTTACACTTATCTCCATACCTGACTTACTGCTTCCTTCCTATGTAGCCTATAACAAACAAAAACACTCCAAGAAAATACAGTACTACTATGAGCACAGAAATTTAGCCTGAAGATGTCTGTTTGCTGCATAAGTAACTTTTCACCTCTTGTGAGCTGAGAACTGAACACATGTATATGTGGCTATTTGTCCTAACAGTTTGACACAAAGAACAACCCTTAGCGGTAATCCCATGTTTGCAAACTTCTTTAATTTAAAGTCTTAAAGCATTGTCTTCCTTGATCCAGTCATGTTCCTCAAGGATGAACTTTTCTGCAATGTATTTTACACATCACGCATCTTAACAATACAGTTAAGCTACTTTCTGTTGTCAAAACACCCTATTTAGAAGTGGGGTACTTATTTACTCTCTGCCTCTTGGTGCATTTAATTTTGCTCAGAGGAACAAGAATGCAATAGCAAAGCCAGGATTCAAAGGAAAAAAGGATGTAGAAACAAGCATGAAAAGCCTATAGACAAACGTTTAAATAGCAAGAATCAAATCCTGCATTTTTAACACCTTGACTATTAAGTAGACCTCCCACCTTCAAGACTCTCTGCAGCAGTTGATCACGTTTACTTGCACAACCACAAACAAAACATATACAAGTTGCTCAGTTCCCTATGAAAGAATAATGCAACCTGTTTTCTCTTCATATGGACAAGATACTTGGTTCTTGTTTCAAAATAATGGAAACATAATGATTATCCTTGCTTTTGAGTAGTAGTTCTCCAATGTTCCTACCTAATTGCATCAAGCCCTACAGAACTGCTAAAAACTGGATCCTCTAATTTTTAGATGTTAAATCAACATTCAAAAGTTTAGATAACGGCTCAATCATATAACACACACTGGTCTCACTCAGAGCTGTAGGAAATTCAGTGAGAGCTGTATTTTTCAGATAATGCCCACAAACGTGGAGATCACTCCAGGAAAAAGAAAAAAAAAAAAGCTTCATTGTAACATGCAAACTTCTAAAAAAACAGTATGTCTCAAGCTTTAGGTATGACTCAACTAAAGACCTCCTGAAGCTTTAAATACAAGCACAAAGGAGTTGTGACAAATACTTCACAAGCTTATGAAGCATGTATCGTAACATTGATCTTGAATTTTTCTCCGAAGAAACGCAAAAGGTAATAGTGAATGTAATACATTGCTTGGGGACTGCCTGACTTTTCAAGAGTGGCACAAGCTCCACAAAGGACCCTGCAAGAGACTGTGTTCCACAGACCTTTGAAGAACGCCACTAGTAAAGTTCCCTTTAGAAGAAGGAGGGGGAAAAAGTCTTAGCAAGGCCACTCACAGAGACTAAATTCTGACGCTAAGAAAGACAGAGTGTGATCAAAAGTATGTTGGCAAGATGCACGGGGCACAAGGGGTAAGTGCTCAAAACAATTACTTTCAATAATATTCAAAAAAAAGATTATGATTCCAAAATAATTCAATGGAAAAAATGCACTAGTACAGACAGAGCTTTTATTTTTATATTTTTAACCTCAAATCCTCAACCACAGTCAGGGTAAATTACTCTCCCACCATCTGAATAAAAATAGTACTGGCTAGAACTGTTTGTTGTAGATACGTTACCTTAACAAATTTAACTCCTCTTTTTACTGTTTGTTAAGCACTTGCCAAGCAACTCTTGATTTCCCTAGAAGTATTCACTAGTATTTCCCTAGTGGTTTCTGCAAGACAACGGCAAACTATTCCTCGTTTTAGTGTTCATACTGTTACCCAATCATGTTGGATTTCATCTGCTCCTTAACTGGATGATTTTTAGGAATGAAAATCTAATGACAAAGGAAAAGTTTTTCCCAGCATGAATTTCCACTAAGAGCATTTATTAAACACCTTTGTGAAGCCATTTGTTAAACTGCTTAGGTTTCTGACAAGCTTTGGAAAAAAAAAAAAAAAAACCCACAAAACAGTCATTCAATGATTAAAATGAAATGATTAATAAATGTACCAAGTCACTGTGCCTCCACCTGAAAACGAGCTCCAGCCACAAATAACGCATCGTTTGAAAGTTGATCCCATTTATTCACTATGCATACAGCAATGTACCAGCCACTAGGTCATGCTTTTCTTACAGAAATGGAGCAGCACATATTCCACCCACTCCACACTGTCTAGTGCCATAAAGTTCTCTATGGCACTGTCTCCAAAAAATGAAGAGAACCAATTTTAATCAGCATTCAGGAATAACACACATAAGGTGAGGCAGCTGCTCAGCTTCTTGTAGTCACTTGAAATATAACGGTCTATAGAAACTACGTCTATCTTAAAAATCCATGGACAATGTTTCCTGTGACTCTCGCCCTATAATCCAGTTGACAAAGCAACCTCAGCTTCAAAAAAAACATACTTTTCCTCTTCACTATTACCAGTTACAAACAGCTGAACATAAAATGTTTTTTCTCAGTTTCATCTGGCAAACATATTTGTTCCTTTTTCAAGTATTTCTCATAGGAGAAAAATATTTTTAGTTGTGATTTTCCCCAGGGATCATTGAAGAAAAAAATCGAGGACTCATCAACCGAATTTTGGTACCAATAGGCCCCCTTTAGCAGGGTAACTTGCCTTATGCCATATTATTCCTTGTGGTTTCAATCGTTTGCAGTCAGTCTTGATAGTTCTTGTTGGAGTGAGTATATAATCCACTGTTAAATCATGGTCATCAAGAAGCTCTTCTGCTATGTCGACGACCTACAAGGAACATGAAATACGGTAAACAGTTAAAAACAAGTTCACTAAAATTATGCATCATTCCTGATGTCTTGCAACACACCAAAATCTCTAACTGATAGTGGAAACAAAGTAAAGATGCTATGCCAAAATCAACCAAGTTTTTTTCTTCAGGTGGACCGCTGAGTAGCACACAATTCTGACTCTTTAAAACTCTTGCGAGTGAACATTTTAGCTTACCTGGCAGTCATGCACAATAGTAATTACAGGTGTATCCTTCTGGACTGCACCCATTGACACCATCATTGCATACTCCATGTCTGCATAACCTTCCCCTTTTCCAATTCTCCAGCCTAAAACAAAAGCAAACAGTGATAGTAAACACAGAACAGTGGAGCTGAGAGGATGGTTACTGTCAAAAGCGTGCAACTGAACTGACAGTCTGCAACAGATAAAGCAAGCACGGAGTTGTAACTTGGGAGAATTTCAGAGCAGCTTCTCTACACTGACTGCAGCTTTCCTTAGGATTAGCAATGAAATTAAAAGAGAACAGTTTTATTGAACACCTGAAGGATCCCAGGAGCCTGCAACTCAGGACAAATTTGTGAGGAGAACAAAATCTGATCCAATTTGGTTAAAATGGAAGCCTATTTACTAACCTTAATTAGAGCCATCTACTCATGTCAAACATACATCAACTTCGCATGCGCGAAAGGAATCTGGGTCACATACAAAGAGGATTTTATTTCTAGGCAATGGATAAAGGTGACAGAAAAAATATTCTGCCACCAGCTGGTCCACAAAAATACTAGAAAATGCAAAATTTTTCCCCAAAAGAGGCACTGAATCAGCAGCTGCAACAGCTGCCCTTTCACACTCCCCTGCTCTGAGGGGATTATCTGAACAGGGAGCCCACCTCGCTCACACTGTGCTTGCCTGAAAAGTTCCACTGAAGGCCAGAACGCTGGCCTGCATGCTCTAAAGCACACTAGCACACTGCTGTACGCCCACTACATCTTGGTGTCATTGTTGTGAAGCAGGCACTGATTCTTCCTGGTCAGACTGAGATCAATAATTTGTCACACAGAAGAGACTGAACTCCAGACAGTGATCCAGTTCCAAAGAGATGTTTAGGCCTGCCAAAAGGAGCACGTAGCCTACTGAAATTTATGAATCACAGTATAGCACCCACCTTCTGAAAAGCTTACAAGACTTTATTGTACCTTTTTCAGAGACAGCCACTGATCCTACAACCACCAAGTCCACTCGTGCTTTCCCATCAAGACCTATAGGCACACTGTATTCTTTTACACCCTGCAACAACAACAAAAAAAACACTTTAAGATTGCAGAGTACTGAATCTCCCAACCAGTGAGGCAGAAATCAAGAATATTTTGATAAAACCAAATAGCTCAAGTTTCAAGGTGTTTCACCCACATATAGCAAAATTACACATTTCTGAAGAGTTATTCGCTAGAGAATCCCAGAATACATTTTCTACTACAGTGATGAAAATTTTGGCACACTTCAAAGAGTGTTGTGCAGGCTGGGCACTTAGATTTTGAAACCCTAGATTGGGCATCTCTTTTTGAAAATGATGGCAAGTGAAACTTTTTACCCTAATACTGCTACCAACTGGGTGATAGTCATATGTAGATTCCTTCCCCTGAGGAACTTGAGAGTGCTGCAAATTCTTAATTTAACTCCCACGTATAAATCATGAAGCTCAGTTTAGACACAGCCAACTACAGCACAGAGATGTTAAGTTGCTTGTCTGAAGTTACACAAACAGCTTTGCTGAAGCACAACCAGGAACACAATCTGTTTCATGCTGTATCCACTGCACTGACAGTTTCTCCACACATGTATCATTAAACACATCTTCCAAAGCTGCCTACACGTTCCCCAACAATCTGAGGAGTGACCATCATTCAGGATGTGCCACTGCCAAGCTAAGCTATCTTTGCCGAAACCGTCTAAGACACTAATGAACGGAAAAAACACACTGTTCCTGATAAGTGGAAAGAAATACCTTACTCAACCCCGTCTTCCTTTCCCACCCCACTTTTCTTCCCTTTCAGGCTCTTCTTGCACAGAATTTGTGCAGAAAATATTCTTTAAAAAGGGCAGAAGTTAAACTGTTTCACTTTAGCTTCCAAACTTCAGGGTTTTAGGACTTTTAAAGAAAAAAAATCTTGAGATTTATTTTATGACTCTTAATATAGGTGTACAGGGTGACATAAATCATCCTCACACCAACTCAACCTCGGCCTAAACTAATCTTTGCGATAAAAGGCCACATATTTTCAGTTTAGAGCACAAAAACAAAGAGATCAGTAATTTGTGGCTGACTCACTCTATCAGTAATAATACTCACTACCCACTTCACAGCAGTGTGGTAAGAATTGTTTGCACAACGCTTTGTAAATACAAATTGCTAATAGCAGTTATTCATTAGTATGCCTGCTTGGGGGGAAAACAGACACGTGCTGGCAAGATCATTGACGAGATACAAGGCCTGAAGTAGGTCAAAAGAAAGGTCTCTTTCAAAAGTGCTCTTCAACCCTGAAAAGCTTAATTAGTTAATTACTGTAGTAGAACTTCTAACAAAGAAACTCTCTAACAATTACCATCCATTTACAATCCTCAGCTGAATACAGGATTACTGCAGGAACTTTACTGCTTTTAGCTAGAGATAAATTAAGGAATAAAACCTATATAGTTGGCCTATTCATTCTGTACAAGTCGTATTCTTACATTAAATATAAGAGGCACATAAAATAATGCAGAATTCTCTGCCAAATGAGCTTAGCTATGCAGTATGACACTTCAACACCAGAGGGCAGCAACATACCACATTTCAAAAGAAAACTGTTAGGTGCACAACCAGCACTGTTGCATCTCAATTGAAGCAAATGACAGAATTAATATTTCTTTAGACTCAGGATTCTAAAAGAACTGACTTTTCCTACTTAGTACATCTAACATTTTATCGATCAGATTAGGCAAAAACTATACATGCTAAAATATTTTTCCTTCTGGGATTCACCAGCTCAAAATTGCAGAAGAAAATAGAAGTAATGTCCACTAGAGCTTAAGGATTTAGTTCATCTATGAAAGTTGCTCATAACGGTCCAAAAAACATTCACTAACTATAGATATCATTGTACTGGTAAGTAAAATAATGGTGAAAAAATAAGTTGCGTGAGGATTTAAGTACTAACAAAAAATGTATTCGTGGTGGATGTGTACACAAAATGGGAATAACATACTAGTAGAACAATATTTCACGTAGCACCTGGTATTCCAACTTCTACTTAGACTGCCATAATTCAACACTCTTCCACATATTAATTCAGACTTCCCCCATTTTTTATTCCTACTTGAGATGTCGCACATATCCGTAGGATTTCCTTAGTTGCACCTGAAGGTGGAACAATCTTATTAAACAGCCCAGTTCTCAAACGCGGTGTTGGAACCAACAGTGTCTTCCTTGCCTGTGGAACAAAAGAAGTTACCACGTCACAAAGAGTGGACTCATCTTACACTAAAAATACCAGGAAAAATAAGTTTATTGTCCCGTAGGTCTCCATGCAGGCAACTACCTTATTTGCTATAGAGTAGTTAATATTGTTTGTACAGTGCTGGTAGATGAAGCCTCTCAGTAGAGTAAAATTTCATAATTTTTTTTAAAGGAAACAGATGACAAGACATACCTATTAGTCCAAAGAGGACAATACACAAACAAGTTACACATGATAACAAGCTAGCGAACGCTCATTGCTCTGGGGCAAGTCTGTCACACATTCATCTGATGATAAACGTAAGGCAGTATGAAGCAGCTACCGCGTACATTTCTGGGAACAAGAACACAAAGACAGTGAACCAGGTGTTGCTCCACGTAAACACCAAAACCCTAAACACACCTTTGCCATTTGCCAAAAAGGCAAAGACATCCTTACATGAGCAGCCTCATAAGGCTTAGTACTAGTAAAACTCCCGTAGAAGAGATGCCAGGTGTTGACCAAAAGATGCTGTGAGTTACATTACTGTCCCACTCCTCCTCAGGGGTGCAAAGCTGCTCATTACCTGCAGTGCAGCTAGCCGAACACCTTCTAGAGGTTTGTCAGGATCCACTTTAATCTCCCTTGCTCTGCTGAACACATCGAGCCCTTTAATAGCGCAACAAGCCTGGTGAGACCCCTGCATGAAAAAATGAATTAAGACAGACAAGCGAATACACTGACTTACTTCCAGGGTTAGAAAGCGAGCATTCTTCTGGGGAGCATCAGGGTTTATTTTTACAGTACTGGCAGCTTTGAATTCCTGTAAACTCAGAAGCCTTGTTGCAGCATGGGAAGCACCCTGTTTTCATAAGATATCAGCACATCAGCAAGGAGTTTAAAGCAGAGATGGAAAACCTCTACTGTCTCATCAAGCAGAGAGGCTGATTTCCCCAGATGTAAAGTGTGAGGGACATATTGCTCATTTTGTGATATTTTCTATGGGAAACTTTCACATACCCCTAACCGCTGCTGGACTTGACTAATATCTTGCAGGCCTCAGAGAAAGGGGAGCCCAAGTACATTCACGCTGCCTAACTTCAGCTTCATTTGTACCTAACTCAAAGCTGGAGACCAGTTTCTCTTTTAGTCAATGAATACAGATAGATTCTTCTGAACACAAGTCGCAGCCAGAGACTCTTTCAGATGAGCCACTTTCTGGACAAGGCTTTCTCTTTCTAGAGATTAAACAGATCTCAGAAGATTCATTTCTTAACCGAGTAAGGTGAAAACGCACATGTTTTCCCCACTTAGATCTTTCAACTCAGATATCCTTTTGCTTGAGGAGGAAAATAAAGTCTCAGGCTCCTTCCACTTGAGCACCTTCTCTACCTCAAGGCCAACGCTGCTCTTGTGATACTAAAGCAGTACTTCTGCCAGTCTCTTGGGCAAAAGCAGAGCTGCTCATGGGCGAACAACACCCAGTACGTATCCTCTCAATGCTATTACGGTTGTCATTTCTTCCATGTACAGCAGATACGAGCTTCACACCTTAGGCCTCGATCAAAACAGACAGTAAAGCCCTGATCTAAGTAACGGAGCATTTGGAAACCTTCCTATTTCTTCCTCCCACCATTAACTAAGAACATAGGGCAGCTGGGGCAGGAGGAAGGGCTCTCCCACCACTGCCCAGCACTAACTTCAGCACCATTCACAACTGAGCTGCACGTTGTATGTTCCTAGGCCAAGCGCTGGAACACGGGTGACCTCAGCTCTCTCTCCCAACGGACCTGCTGAAGGCCTTGGATGGGCAAATTTAATTCCGAACGCCTCCATTTCCCCCCTGCGCCCCATAAATACACTTACTCCCCTCGAGAAAGCGTGTTGCTATCTACCGACTGAAACGCAGCGCCCGCCTGCCGCAGGTGTCTGCGCGTACTCAGTCGCTGCAAAGTCGGGTTCCC